TTCCCAACCCCTGCATGTCTTGCTTCTTTCAAAGGGCCGCACACACTTTACTATCTTTAAAATTACCCCTGTTTTTCTCCAGCTCTTTATCTGTCTCTCTCAAAGCTGATGTAGCCCAGCTCAGCATATAAGAGTGTGCAGCGCGCTAGCTAAGTGGATTTACATATTGGATTTCAGGGAGGCCCATTCCGTTGTAAGCCTCATGGACTCCCACCGGGGGCTTTAGTCAGATGATAATGCATGTTTTCAGTGTTAATGCCAAACACACACATACTTGTATATACACACGGAGCAGCCGCAATCACCCTGCCAAATATGCGGTTACAGGCAGAGATACACAACCAGGCACTTACACAGGTGCTTCTGTCTGTGTGTGTGTGTGTGTGTGTGTGTGTGTGTGTGTGTGTGTGTGTGTGTGTGTGTGTGTGTGTGTGTGTGTGTGTGTGTGTGTAGCAGGCCTTAGCAGGAGGGCTAAATCCTCATTTCTGTGAGAGGCTCCCCTGACGCAGCATTGACCCCATCCCTGACCTTCCCCACCCTGAATCTGACAGGGGCTGATCTGCCTCATATTTCATCTCGCAGAGGGAGACAACGAGGGCATCGGCTCACACACACACACAGATATTGTACACATACAGGCAGTTTTCCCCTATCTCTCTTTGCCTCGCTTTTTTTTCCACCTCTCTCATTTATTACTCAGTCAGTGTAAACACACACCGCGGGACGGCTGTGCAGCAGCGGAGCGTGGAGTGGATCTAGGGCCATGCCCACATCCAAGTGTAGCGGGGCCATAATGATAGGCCACTAAGGCAGATGAGGACCCTCCCTATATAGCCAATCCCAAGCCAGGTCTCTGCATTTCTAAAGTTTCCGCTGCTCTAAGGACCAGGCTTTAGCTTTATTTATACACCCACACCTCCGTAGCATGATAAAAAAAGAGGGATTTTAATAGTTCATGCCTAGATTGAAGCACAATATGTTACTTTGGGCAGAACATGCTGAGCTTCCAAATAACATATTTTCAGAGTTTTTTTGTTTCTCATGCTAGCACTCCTTACATCTAATTTCTTTGAAAATTCTAAATACTTTTATTCCAGCACAGTTCCAGTTTGTTTTTCTTTGCGATGTCACATTCCTTTGAGATATTCAACCCGTGCAGCATTTCCCCTCTTAATCTCAGTGTAATGTTTTACATTGTTAAGGGAACTGATGGTTTGCTTATTAAAATGTTTTAATATGAACCAAACCAAGGCATTCATCCAATATTACCTTGATATCTAACCTATGCGGTCTTCTGTCTCTCTTCCGCTCCATCTTTACAGCTCCCACACTCCCTCCTACCACGGTAGTTCCAAGCACCACTCCGTCGGACGACTGTGACGACGACCAGGCGAGCTGCCACAGCGGCACAGGTGATGACTACGACGTGACAGGTGCTAACATCGCCCACATGAGACTGCAACTAAACTCCCCCGCCCCCCTCTTGCACTTCCTTCTGCCACTGCTCACACTCTATCTGCTTCACTCTCCCCGGCTTCACTTCTCTCTGTTATAGCCAGATTTGATACCATAATCTGCCACCTACTGCGCGCAGTGCATGCACCCACGTACATGATGCTGTTTACACACCTCTAATTATCTGCACCTGCATCATCCCTCAGTCTATCCCCTCTTACCTCAGAAAACTCACATTGGAGGATTGTCGCACCAAAGATCGCCAAATGCGCCACACACAGCTGCTTCTAAACAGCCGGCTCTGCCTCTCTCTATCCTTTCATCTCTCACCTGGCTTGTCCACCGGCTCCTTCTTTTCAGCTCACTCCTCTTGGCCTCATTTCCCACTAACCCAGTAACTCTCTGAGCCTGCTGCCTGCACTCCCCATTAACCAGCAGTCTCCAATGATGAGCATGGCACCGTCTCGGTCACGTGTTACAAGTATTATATAATGCGTGATGTTAGATATATGAGGCAGGGACTTAGCAGACTGAAGAGAAAGACAGGGCATGTGTTAGATAGCTATTTTTAACTAGCAAGGAGACATTTGATGCATGAATGAAGTTATTTGCAAACAACGTAACTCTTGCCAGGCTGGGCTAATCATGCTAATGTTTTGTGTTACAGCGGGTACCATAATTCCAGAGACCACTACTGCTGAAGTGGATACCATCCCAGGTGAGCAAAAACATATTTATTACATATATACTCCGCCTATGTCTTAAAAGCATGATAAACATACTAACAATTTGTAATAATCTACTTATAGCATTGGTTAATTTAGTTATTAGCAGTAGTAGTAATGCTTTATTAGAATAATAATAACACATCAAATACAATTTTATCAGGAGTTTTAATGTTAATTAGGGAAAATTGCTGGGCATTCATTTAGTTTTTTCATTTGAATTAAAGCAAACAATGACCACATAGTGTAACTAGGAATCACATTACCATGCAATGTAAGAAGATAATAATGGTTTGAAAGTGATTGGAATTATAATAACCTATGATCCGGAAATATATTTTGGATACTTGACCTTAAATGTCATTACAATATAATTGGCAGATCATAACGCATTTTAAGTATGTTTATCTAGCATTATAGACATGTGCGTCATACATAGTGTGACCAATTATTCTCTTTCCCTTCAATGATTCCACCTCTTTCTAAATGCTGAACCTGATGCCATCAAACGTTACATGATGAGAATGTTGAATCGTGGAATAAATATTTAACCGCTCAAGGTTTTTCTGAATTAATTTCCATGGATTTATCAAAAAGCGTACCTTAGCTAATGATTGCCAGCTTGAGGCGGCCTCTCTGATGTGTGTCTGTTATTAAAGCTGATGATATGGCCCTGAGAGCCTCCTGCTGACAGGGTGAGCGAGGTTGTGTGATGCAGGGCTAGCTGATGATTAGCACTGGTGCTCTGTTGCTGCCTCCTCAGCATAATCACTAATCACTGGGCCGACTCTGCCACACACTCAACACACACACACACACACACACACATACACCGCAACACAAAAACAGAAGAGCACAATGCAAATGACCACAGGAAATTGTGTGTGCTTTGGGGTCACATGCAGACGCACACACACACACACACACATAGTGCTGTTTCCTATAGCAGGTTGATGAGGCAGCAGCCAGCTGAGAGGCTGTGCCCCAGACTGACCTTGGCTAATGGGCCATAGGCTCCACCCACCCCCCCTCAGCTGGCTCTGTGGTCTGTCTGTAGTCTGCTGGGCCACCAGCTATGATAGATGAGAGCTAAGGTGCAGGTGTGTGTATCCACATTTGTGTGTGTACAAACAGAACTACATTTCTGTGGATAAACACTCATCCGCCTGACTTTGTATTTGAAGACCACGCATGGTAATCAGTTCTGCCTATCTGTGTGTGTTTGTATGGGTGTGTGTGTGCCATGCACTCTAATCTCCAAGGATCTACTTTCTGATGGCATTCAGCGAAAAAAAGGCTCTTTTTCTATTCATCAAATGGCCAAGTGAGTCATATGGCTGCTCATCTTATCCACAGCTTGTTGGTAGCCTTAGTAAAAGCCTCCCAAGAATGGAAAAAGAAAGGCCAAAGACATTTAATTGGGAATGGGTTGTCTCGACGAAAAAAAAGGGGCTTGGCGTCTCGAATGTGGTTCCACATGGGAATTCCATCCTTTGAGTTTAATGGGCAAATAGAGCCGTTGCCTGTAGAAGCTAGTTAAAACATTCCCATTATTAAAGGGAATATTGGCTCATTAACTGTATCTCTAAAAGCATCTCATGCTGGAGTCTGACGTCCTGGCAAACGTCCCAAACATCTCGCTCCCTCGCGTTCCTTGGAAGTCTTTCTTTATCGAATTTGAGAAAAAAAACACTAAAGCCTGCACTCCCACACATTTTTTGCCTCCACTGAGGCTCCTTCAGCGCGGTGTGTGTCCATCCATGGGGGATTGCATTGTTGGAATGGGGCCTCGGCTCTGTTACCATAGCTGTCTTCAAACCTCAAGTCTCTGCTCTCATTAAAATCTTGAGCTCTCTGCGGGCCGCTATGAATGCTTTCTCAACTGGACACCTTGTCCAGACCCCATCTTCCTCTTCCCCTGTCTCTGCCTCTTCTAAGTGTCCCTCTATACCTCTTTATATGCCCTGTTACTTTCATTAAAGAAGTCATTACTGTAGCCAAGACATAAGGTCTACATGAGGTCTGGGCTGTCAGCTCCTCTTTTTGAGCCATAACTGTCCCTGTCTGGCTCTCCCTCCTGAGTTAGCTGTTTTTATCTCCCCCAGCAATGGGACTCCGAGCGAACGTCCCACAGTTCTTTGCTGCCCTCTAGTGCTTTGTATTGATCAGAACGAATGAATGAGGCTCCAAAGTGTAGCCTGCAGTCACATCATGACAGGCCCCCAGGTCATTGTTGGTTGAAAGCCCAAAGCTCCTGGCAATTTCTCCTTTTGTAATAAGGAAGATGATGAAATACGATCTCCTGTCACACGATCTTGACTTTTTTTTCTCACATTTGCAGCTTTTCTGTGGTTTGCCTGTGACTTCGGCTGGGCCAACGACCCGTCCTTTTGCAGCTGGACATCAGAGGACACTGGCTCCAGGTGGCAGATCCAGTCCAGCGGCACCCCCACCTTAAATACCGGACCTAACATGGACCACACAGGTAAGGGTTCCACTTAATTTATCCAACCTCCTCTCGTTTCTTTTCATCCGCAAAGTTTTTTTATCTGTCACTGATACAAGCACATTTTTCCAACAGGTGGATCGGGGAACTTCATCTACACCTTGGCGACGAGCCCCCAGGAGACGGAGGTGGCTCGGCTGGTCAGCCCCGTGGTCAGCTCCCCGGACTCAGACCTGTGCGTTTCCTTTTGGTATCACATGTTTGGGCCACACATTGGCACACTGCATATAAAACAGCGCAAACAGACCGTTGACGGACCGGCTGACATCCTGCTGTGGACGGTCAGTGGTCACCAAGGAAACCGCTGGAGAGAAGGTCGTGTCCTCGTGCCACGAACCAACAAACCCTATCAGGTAAATGATTAGTCCATGAAATGATTGAAGTATTAAACAATTCCATTGTGGTATCCAAAAGAAGTTGCTAAAAAAGTTCTTTTTTTCAAGGTGGTGCTGGAAAGTCTGGTGGAGAGAAAGAGCTGGGGGGACATTGCTGTTGATGACATTAAAGTTCTCGATGGACTCAGCATGGCGGACTGCAAAGGTAAGGCTTTCAGTTTTCATAGCTTCAATGCCTGCATTCAGCGCTTGATCTGCAATTTCACACAGTTTTCTTTGAAATTGGATTTCATTAGAATTTCTGTTTGAACAGATCCTGACGTACCCACCGAGCCGATGCTGCCAGAGGACCGCCTCAATGAAATCCGTAAGTCATTTCACACATGGAGGGTTTATTAGCCGTTTCCCTTTTTGAGAACTATTTGCCCAAATTTTAAAGTTGATATCACATCTCACTCTCCTTTTCTGCGTCTCTCTCTCCCCTCCAGTTGAAGACATCACTGAGTACCCAGACTTTGTGGAGACCAACCAGATCAGCGGAGCAGGCAACATGCTGAAGACGCTCGACCCCATCCTCATTACCATCATCGCCATGTCCGCTCTGGGGGTCTTTCTGGGGGCCATCTGCGGCGTGGTGCTGTACTGCGCCTGCTCGCATGGAGGCATGTCGGACAGGAACTTATCAGCCCTGGAGAACTATAACTTTGAGCTAGTGGACGGCGTTAAGCTAAAGAAAGACAAACTCAATGTACAGAGCTCATACTCAGAGGCATGAGGAGGGACTGAGTGCATCATGTGACTGTATCACGTGCAGAGCGTGCACAAGACTGGCTGTAGGCTTATCCTCTCGTATCTCCACGAGAAGGCAGGCTCAAAGGACTGCCAACACCCTCAACACTCTGGATGAGGGACAGGTTCAGGAACCAATGGGAGGTTTGGACTGATCCACGCTTTTCTCAGGAGCTGCAGTAAAAAGAACCTACCAGTAGGGGACACTGTGTACAAATAAACATACAGAAAAAAATATGTACAGATGATTTAGATGATATTTTAATTTTCTATTTTGATTTTCATTCATTTTTACAATCGGATGCTGGTGTTGAGACCAATTTATTAATAATGTTTAAAGTATTTATCGTTTTCTGGGAAAGAAATGTCTTTTTTTTATTATCAGTTCATGAAGGCTGTTTATTTTCAAGTTCGGAAAGAGATGTATAAATGAACCATATCCGGCAAAACTGTAGATTTGCCCAATGATGAGCATACAGGGTGGGCCCATAACCCTTGACCCTGAAACATGTACTCTCTCCCCTTTGACCTCTGTCACTCTAAAGTGAGGGTCCCATTCATGGCAATGTATGGTTCTGACAGTGCCTTTAGTACATTTCGGTTGGCCTCCTCTGTTGATGTGGGCGGGGTATTTTTTACTGTAGTTGGCAAAAGTTATGATGACAGGAAACAGGGGTACATTATCTTTAATACCTGGCAAACAGGATATCAGTCACAGCGCTTTGTTTTATTTTTTGTTGTTTTCTGTCCAAAAAACCACACACTGTAAATATGTTTTAATATATTTTATTGCCCTTTTTAAAGAAAGTAAAAAGGAAAAAAGCTGCAGTATCCCTTTTTTAATGGGTTTGTGTGTGTGTGTGTGTGTGTGTGTGTGTGTGTGTGTGTGTGTGTGTGTA